CAAGAGCCAACTCATTCTCATAGCAGAAGGCACTGGGAGGTGGGGGAGAAGGTAGGATAGTCATCTTGCTTTCTTGCAGCTCCCGGGCTGAGCAGCAAGGTGTGCCAGCTACCTCATAGGTCTTGTGAAAGCGTGAGTAATCCACTTTGTAGTGGTTCTTCTCCTCAAACACAACTGGTTCAAAACGATGACCCCAAAGGATTTCACTAGCGAGGTAAGAACTTCGTGCCTGTGTAGTCATGGCTGTGGCTTCCACCATCCCCTCCAGGATAACAACAATCTCAAAGTTCTCCGTCTCCAGCTCCTCCTTGCCAATCCCATAGAGTGGGCTCTCCTCATCAATCTCATGAACGATAATAATGGGTGAGACCAAAAATATACGATCAAGGCCCACGTCGTAGCCCACATTTAGGTCCCGTTGGTCTAGGGGGAGGTATTCCCCTTCCTCTGTCATGTAGGGCTTGATGAGCTGGGCTCGGACATGGGCCTCCACGATGTGGCTCCTCCTCAGGTTGCCCACCCGCCACATGAGGCACAGTTTTCCATCCCGCACGGAGATGACCGCATGATGACTGAAGAGGAGGGTCTGGGCCCGCTTCTTAGGCCTTGCCATCTTGGCCATGATAGTGCCAATCATGAAGGAGTCAATAACGCAGCCCACGATGGACTGGACCACGACTGCCATGATAGCCAGCGGGCACTCCTCAGTCACGCAGCGGAAGCCGTACCCAATGGTTGTCTGTGTCTCCACTGAGAAAAGAAAAGCCCCTAGGAAGCTGTTCACGTGCATGATGCAGGGCTTAAGGAGAGAGGGACCACCTCCCACCGTCGGTGCGTTGAGGTCACCGTGGAAAAAAGCAATGCACCAGAAGAGGAAGCCGAAAAAAAGCCAGGAGACCAGGAAGGCGGCGGAGAAGATCATAAGCATGTACCGCCAGCGTGTGTCCACACAAGTGGTGAAGATGTCAGCCATGTAGCGCTGAGACTTGTTGCTCAGGTTGGCAAAGTAAACGTTGCACTGGCCGTTCTTCTTCACAAAACGGTTGCGGTGCTTCCGCCGGGGGGCATGGCCCTTCCCATTCCGGCTGTGCCCGTTCATGCTGCCCAGCGCAGAGACCTTGTGTCCATCCTCTTCGGTTGAGACAATGCTGTACCTGGAAGAAAAGAAACAGGCATTTCCAGCAGAAATACGTGAAAAATAACAGCAACCACCGAGACAGCGAGGGTGGGAGACACGTGGGTGGCTCCCAGGACTACGGTACTGCCATGTTGAATATCATAACGGCACATTTCCCTGGTTATTGCCACGCTGACCACATTGGTGGAGCTCAGCTGCAATATTTGATGAGTCTGGCTGCCGGGAGGTTGTATCTAGCAAAGTCCTGACAGGGCAGCAAAGCAGGAGAAGCTTGTAGCGCTGTGCTACCTTCCAGCCTTTGTGGTGAGGAGGAAACCAAGGTTTCCAAACCTGACAGCAGCTGGGACAGCTGGGAAGCCTGGAAGCAAACACTCACGGTCTGGCCACATTTTGGCCCTGACATTATATAAGGCCGGGAGTTTCTATTTTCTCCTCCGCTCTCCTCACTGATTTCATGGTGCGTTGGTGACAATGTTTATGCACTTCCTGCGCTCAGGACAATTCTGTTGCCACAGCAACGTGCGTGGCTCTCAGCATCCCGCATCCAAAGCCAAAGGTGTAATTTGGAGATCAACAGCCAAAGCGCTGGCAGTTTCCCTGGCAGAAGCTCCACGTACGCTTTCTGGGAGACGTTTACCCCTCCAGCTCCCCTCCCTCATGTGCTGCTGGGACAGTTGCAGATACTTCTTAAAGATGTGATGGCAGAAGGTGCTCTGACCACTGAGGAAATCAAGCGAGTGCATGGACTCACCAAGACCACTCTGCCCCCGTGGCCACCGAGCCACAGCCTCCCAGAGCCCCTCAGGCTGGCAGGGTCTCCCTCCCACCCCATAGTGTTGACACGTTCAGCTGGAGCCCTCCCGCATGGGCTTCATGACCCCCATCCTTGTCTCAGGGCAAGGGAAGCACTGGTGGCTGGAGCTGTGATTCCTGGGGCCTGCGGCGCTGTTGGAATCTGTAATTTCTGGTCCAGCACCGTGCAGCACTTTGCTTCTCCTCCACAGCACTCCTCCAAGCACTACCCCCACGTACGGCATGTTTTGGATTGGAGAAGGAGAGTGGAGCCGTACCTTGGAGCCGGAAAGCCCCCGGCAGGTCTTTTGAGAAGAATATACCAAAAGGCAGGCTGAAGGTATGGCCTGAGGGGCCAGACGAGGAGGACCAGGCAGCCCAGGGCAGCAGCGGTCCTTGAGAGGAGGGTTACTCACCGGTTGACTCGGACGCTGCCCATGGCTCGCTGTATCATCGGGTGTCAGGGGGCCGCAGGAGCTGGGAGGGCGCGGGGTCTCATGCAGCAACACTCACATGGGACCGGGCGGCTCTGGGTTTCACCTCCGGCGAGCTGGGACCCGCACGGCCATCGCGATTGCTCCTGGGCACACGCCTTGCAGAGAAGGACGAAGCAAAACCCAGTCAGAGCCTCTCCTCACAGCACCCGTTCCAGTCCCAGAGCGGGGGGCACAGGGCTCCCAGGATTTCGCTCGGGAGGGGTCTGGGGGTGTCCGCGGGGCCGGGAGAGGTGCAGGGCCAGCCGGTCACCACTCTCCAGATCAAGGGCACAACGGTTGAGCAGCTTGCAGGGCCCTTGCCTTGAGCCATTATATTAATATCGTAGCTTACACTAGGACGGGAGCTCAGCCAGGTTAAATACCTCGCACACAAGGACTAATGAAGCGCGGACATGCACGGCAGCCCTCAGGGATCCCTGTCAGCCCAGCCTGACCCACAGGGGATTTATCTCCAGGGGGTGCAGAACATCCCACCCCCCCCCTGTTTCAAAGAGGAGAAGAAAAGCAATGAGTAGAGCCAAAAAGGAGAACTGATGGAAAGGAAGGGCTTAGGGGTAGCCGAGGAGAAGCCGGTTAGAGCAAACAGACCTTGCGACATGCCCTGTGTACAGCATCCAAGGAGTGGCTCAGCAGCAGAGCCCTGGGGAGGATGTCCAGCAGATGCTACGTCCCGACCAGGTCCTCCCCGAACTGAAGAATGGGGAAACCGAAGACTCAAGATCTGACCTATCCCGCCTGCCCAGAGCTGCTGGGAAGTGAAACGCAGCAAGGGGGTGAATGACTCACAGATTAGGAAGGGCTTTGTACACCTATGCTAATCCTACACTGTAACCTTTGGATTACAGCAGCCAGTGCAGAGCACAGGACGCAGACGGAGCCAGCTAGTTCATTTTCTCCCAGCCTCGCCGATGAGCAACCGGTGGTTGCCATATCTGGGACAAATCCAAGGATTTGTGGGTCAAATCCAAGGTTTAGAGCTGCTTGCAAGTAAGTGGTCGTGCACGGACAGGTGAGAGGAACAGCATGTGATGTTGTCTGGAACGGAAAAGCTGGTGAGAACCATCCTTGTCTCATCATCAGTGGTGCAGAACAGGGCTTCTTGCGGCTAAGGGTGACCACCAGCTTTCCCCAGTTAGGAGCAGAGACTAGAAAGCAGCTGGTAAGGAGCTCCAGACCATCACCTCTGATGTGCAAGCACCGCTGTTGTCATGTTTGGGATGAAGATTAACCAGCAGTCTCTCCTCCAGAGGCCAAGGTTACTGAGGCAGTTTAAGCCCTGTGGCAAAACAAACATGGTTGTTCAGACCAAGAATATTATGGGACCAGGAGAAGACAGCAACCCTGTAGTCCACAACTCACCGTATAGAGGTAAAGTGAACAGCTGCCCAAAAACTCCCATCAGGAAAAAACACTTTGGCACTGAACTCTGCCAGCACCCTCTCCCTGACCGCCCTACAGCATCCAAGTCTTTAAGGAGGGTTGGTTTGGCCAGATACGGGAAATTTTGTTGTGCAGCTGGGTAAACCTACAGCAGAAACTGGGGTTGGTAACCTAAATTCATCAAAAATGTTGAGGGATGATCAGGTGATGAAGAAAGGTCAATTCATGCCCATAGATGGTCCTGCTAGGATAAAGCTAAGATATATATTCAGTGATTACATGGTGAGTTTGGACTGCAGGGTCCCACAGGTCTTTAGGAGGTGACAAAGGTAGGCAATTGAAGTATACCCCTCTATGCCAGCTCCAGGAGGAGAGGAAGGGCATCCTCTCCAACCGGCACCTTCCTTAGCCAGCCTGGATAAGCCAAGCTCATCCTTAGCCAGCACTGACACTGATACTGGAGGAAAGGCACTGCCACAGCTCACTCCTATGGATGCTTCACAACTTTCTAAAGGTTTCTGACCACCACCACCTGCCTTTCCCCAGCTGCAGGAACAGGTGCACAATTTCTAGAGACTTTGGATTTCTGGCTCAGGTGGTGGCCAGCTCCAAAAAAAAAAAAAAAAAAAAAAAAGAAAAAGAGGAAGGAGGACATAAGGGACATAAGGAGCTTCCTGCTTGCTGAAACCATGTGCAGCAGCACCCAGATCTCTGCTCCTCACCTTCCCCACCTCACTGAGAAGGAGCAAAGGAAGCAGGTGAAATACAAGGGCTTTGCTGTTCTGGCTGGTACAGTTACGGGAAGGGATGGGCTCGCTGTTTAAGAGCGCTGCATCCCGTGCTGCGCTGCTTCCTTCTGGCTCCCACATGGGAGCTCAAGTCAGCTGGAGCTCTGGCGCAGACTCTTGGGCAGAGCCCACCATGGCTGGACCTTGCAGCCCAGAGCCTGGGAAAAGTTTGCTGATGGCTCCGCAGTTGCAGAACGGAGCATCAGTAGCTAAAACTACATCACTACCTGCAATTTGTACTTAATCACAAGAAAAGTGTTTCCATTGAGAAAAAAAGGCTACAAATCTGAACACACACACACACACACTCAAACATATGAGTATATAGGCTTTAGTATAGGCTGTAGTGAGGGACCCATGGTCTCAGTCCATACACTCATCCGTAGGACCCACACAGAATTGAGTTCATTGCTCTTTTTCTGCTTCGATTTCAGAAATTTTGCCGGTAGATTTAAGGATCTCAGCAACAAGATGCAGTGACTTCGCCCCAGAGGTGAGCTGTCTGATGGACCGGTTTGTGCCCGTTACTATCTTGTGGAGGTTCTGCAAAGCGAAGTCTATGTTGTGCTTCACTGCCCCCAGGTCGGTTGCTTGGCCCGCTCTCAGGTTCTCATTCTCCACCTTGAAGCTCTCCAGCTTTCCCTGGAGAATAAAGACCTCCTGCTTCAGCTTCTCCACGCTGCGTTCTGCCTCCAGAGCCCGCTGGGTCATTAGCTGGAGACCCCACTCAGTCTGCTGCACAAAGGACTGTAACTCTCGGGCTTTCCTCTCCTCTTTGGTGCGGCTGGCCTTCAGCTGCCTCTCCAGCCTCTGCACTGTGCACGCCTGGCTCTCCAAGGACCTCTGCATGCTCCTGACCACCCTCCTGAGCATGACGTTCTCCTCCTTGAGCACGTTGTCTGTCCCCTGCAGGGCTGGTAACTGCCTGTCCCCGATGGCCTCATCGTGTAGCAGGGGGGGCTCCGCTCCCCTGGTGTGCTCTGGGTACCCCAGATAAGGGTCACTGGCGTGGCCCCATGGGGCGAAGGCATCCACCCCCCAGTTCTCGCCCACATTACCACGGGAAGAGTCATAGGAGCCACACGGTGCCATTCCGGCAGTTCGGAGAACACGCGACGTGCGGTGCACAGGCAGGTGATCGGTCCAGCTGTGGTCCCCATCTCTGGACAAGCCGCCAGGCATTTTTGTGGTTTTGTAAAATGGGTCCTGAAACTCCTGAGCTCCCTTCTCAAGCTCCAGTGCGTGCTTGGCCAACCTCTTGGCATAGATTCTATTTTTCATTCCTTCATCTTTCACTATGTAAGAGTGCCTGGGATTTAGGGAAAATGGGATGGCTTCTTCCAGGTCCTCTACCTGACTGTCACCCAAGCTGTCATAGCTTTTGCCCTGGAGTGGAGGGCATGCCGAGTAGCAGGGGTAGCTGAATTGATCATTGTTATAATAATTTTCCAAGCCTTGAAATTCTGGGCAGACTGTCTCTGTTTTCCCAGAGATGCCAAGCAGCCATGACATTTTTCAAGACGCTTGGGGCTGCAGCAAGCGGGAGGATCCAAAGAATCCCCCTGGAGCCCAGGTCATGCAGGCAGGTGACACTGACAAGCAGTGTGCCAGCTTCTGCAGCCTCGGCGACACTCATGGGGGAGGAGGCAGTCACTGAAATCCCTCCATTTAGATCTCCAGAGCGTTCAGGAGGGAGTGGAGAAGAGGACCAGGCATCTCTGTGTCTTCGCTATGGGGAGACCAGGAAACACCAAGGTCTGTGATGTCACCCTGTGCCTTCACCGCCTGCTGTGAGGTCGTCGCCGGGGTGGGGAGGAACCAATCAACTGCAAAAGTGCTTTTTTTTTGGCAGCAGAAAGATAAGCTGGATCCTCGTGGCCGCAGAGCCGACCTCAGCTTGGGGATGCTGCTGGTGGGCAGAGAGGAGCTCATAAAGCCACCCGAGACCTCCAGCATGCAGCTGGGGACGGGGACCAGCCAGCCCCGGGCAGGCAGCGTGGGGTGGAGAGGACAACCCCGCCCCACAGCCTACCAAGACACCTCCATCAGCAAGATCAAGCCGCCGGCATTTCGGTGCCAGGGCTCACCCTGGGCAGAGGCAGGGGACATCCCCAGCGCTTCGGCCAGAGGCATCACCCCGAGCCAGCGGGCCAGCGAGGGGTCCGCGACGCGGTGCTGCCGATCTGATTCATCCCCTGCTGCCAGCTGGCGCAGGGAAGCGTTAGTAATACCGGGCGCCGCAAACTCGGAGCGGCACGAGCCAGGAGACGGACAAAAATAAACCCACTTACCACTTCCACCCCAACACACCCCCGCAGCGCACGGTGCCGCCATGGGAAAGACAGACAGGCAGGGCGAGAAGCCCTGGGCCGGGGACTGCCATCGCGTTGGGCCAGCGTTCACATTAGGGGCCCCCCCCGCCCCGAGATGCCACACTGGGAGGTGATGTAGCCACCGTCCCTCCTCAGCGGCTGGTGGCCCGGGGCCACCACTGACATCCCTGCCTGCAAAATGGGTGCCGCCACCTCAGCAAGGCCAGGGGCATACCGGGAGCCCGGACCCTGTGCCAACTCCGTTCAGACGGCTGTGAAATGGTCCCATTGCTCCTTGAAACACAAATGGGATGAAGGGGGAAAGCTCAGAGATGCCTCCAGCAAAAAGGGGGTGACGCTCATGTCCTGAACAGGCAGCTGCCTGTCACACGGAGGAAGGGGGAGGAAAGCCTGGCCAAGGACAGGGATGCAAATCCTGGAGCATGCCGGAGGACCCTTTCCTGGAGCTTGCTCTGCCTCCTGGGACCCACACGGGGAGGGGGAAGCCGCGGTGTCAGCGGCAGCTCCCGGAGAGTGGGACAAAACCACGCTGGTGGGTGCAGCACGGGGCAGGAGACCAACGGTCTGGATGGTGATGCCTCTCCGTCCCTCAGCTGCCCTGTCCCCGGCATGCATGGACACCCACGTATTTCACGGCCTGAGGAAGCCCCCCGCCCCAGCGCTTTGGGAAGCCGCTGCAGCATGGGCGCCGCAGCCGCTTTCTTGCAGCATCGAAGCTGCCAGCCAGGTGGACCTCCAGGGGCCCCCCAGAGCCGCCGCCAGCCCCGCAGCCTGGGCTGCCCTTCCCAACCACTTTCCCCCCTCCTGCGCCCTGGATTGAGCGGTGCCGGGGCCGCCGTGCTGCTGCCACCCCCGCCTCGGCAGCACGAGCCCTTGCACCAGCCCACGCTGCCACCCCGGCGCGGCTCCGACCCCGAGCAGATGCGTGGGGCTGGGCTGCCGCCGTCGCTTTCCGAGGAATCTGCGGGCTAATCATGTCAGGGCACGTGGTGCTGATGCGATGCCTCCATCGCCCCATCCCCAGCACCCGGTGCAGCGCCTCGCACATCCCAGGCTTTCTCCAGCCCCTGCCAGAGCGGATCATATATTGTCAATCCTTCCTAAATTTGTGGTGGAAGAGTCTCATGAAACAGAACAGAAAAGTCCACGCTGAAGCACTCCCCCACTTCTCTTTTTATAACAACCGTATCTGGTGCTCTGGGACGTATACAGTGAACGACAACGATGGAAAAATCCCAGGGTATTTTTACACTCTTAGTCTTTGCTTTATCTGGAGTCGTCTGGCAAATGCTTCCCTCCTGTCTGTGGTCAATACCGCAGCCGCCGGTCGGGCTGCGCTTTGTGCCTTTATTCCTCTTACCGGCTGCGCAGCACCGCCTGGTTTTGAGATCAGCATCCACAGAACCCATCCTGCCGGCTCAGGCACGGTGACAACACGTCAGACGTCCTTTTGCCTCTTGAGGAGGCAGGGTGGAAACGCCCGCAGCAGAGAGGGGACCCCCTTCGGCTTTTCACATTGCCTCGCAGACCCGCGGCATTCAGTTTGTCCCCTGCATCCTCTTCTCTTCTTCCTCACGAATATTCCGGGGGTTCACGCCGGGGCTCGTAGGGCGGCTCGGTGCCATCTTGCCACGAGAAGCTGCGGCCGAGCTCTCGCTCCTCCGTGCCGGCGGGGCTGGGTGCTAGGCGCTGTACGAACACGCGCGGAGGCACAGTCACCGTGCGGGAGAGTTTTACCATATTAAAAAGGCAAGTGACATATGGAAGGTGAGGGGAGGAAGCTGTAATCAACTCCATACCATTTTTATATACACACTTCTGCCTTTTCGTTCAATAATTATAAATAGATCGAGTAAGTGCCAACAGTCCCCATCTGCCCCGCAAGGCACGATCCGCTGACCAGTTTCTCTCTCCAAATGAGAATTTTATTAATGTGTCTCTGCTTGGTTTATATTTTGGGGTGGAGTGTGAAGGGGGGATTTTTTTTTTCCCCCCCTGTGGAGCTCTGGAGCCCGGGGATGGGTAATATGAAAACAAAACAAAATGATTTGAAGTTAAACCATCTCAGTGTGTGACTCAGAGCTATTCATAGCTCCCTGAAGCCAGCTGCAGCAACGGAGCCAGAAGGATTCTGCCCGTATTATTATTCCAATTACCATCTGAATTAAAAGTTTGAGCAGTGATCAGCCCACATACTGACGGGAGGGGGAGAGAAGAAAGAGGAGAAGGAGAGAAAGAGAGAGAGGAAGAAAAAACAGATAAAAATGGGATCCACACAAAGGTCCCCGGGATGACAAAGTCAGTACGAGGCACGGAAAGGTGACAGCATCACCTCCTGCCTGCTCCCACACCACCCCGGCGGTCCCTGCTCCAGCCACAGCGTCCAGGCAATGACGCTTCAAGAGCAGCCGCCCTCTCCCCGGGATTCCAGCCAGGTTGGGGGGTACCCCACAGCGGGGTTGGTGGGACTGGCACGGGCACTCACCCACTCTCCTCCAGCCAAAATGGGGCTGGGGGGACAAGAGGCAGGGGCTGGGGGGGCAGCCGAGCAGGAGCGTAAGGAGATGGTGCTGCTGGGGCGGCGGCTGGGAAGAGGTCCCCACTTTTTCTTGTGGAGTGAGGATAGGTGGGTGCTATTCTTCGTGGCTGGCATCACAGGGAAAATTAAATGCTCAGAAGGTCCTTGGCCTTCCCTGGGTGGTGTTCGTGGCCAAAAAGGAGCCAGGCTTTTACGGCAGCCTGGGCTCAGACCGTGTCCCTCCTGCTCCCGAGGAAGCAGCCGTCCTGCCAAAACCGTGGAGCAGACCCCAAAGGGTTGGTACAAAACCTACAAGAGCTGAGAAACCGAAGGCGCTGGGGCGTCCCCGAGGCCCCCACATCCCAAGCGGCTGCGGTGCACTCGGGTCGCCACCTCCAGCTTTCTCAACGTGACTGCACCACCAGCAAAAAGGGCATCTCCCCTAACCCCTTCCCAGCCCAGGAACTCCCTTCACTGAGGCTCCAGCCCTGCGGGAGCCTTGCCAAAAAAAACGTCCCCAGCAGTGCCGCTGCGACTCAGCATCTCTCCATCACAGAGCTCCCCCCGAGCCCGTGCCGGCCTGCCCAGGAGGGCTGCACACCTGGGGCCTCTCCATGGCTTTTGGCTAGTCAGGGGCAAGGATGGTTATCGGTGTGCAGGAAAAGGGGGGGCGAGGGTGGCTCACGTCATCTGCCCCCCCGCCGCGGTTGCGCTCCCGACGGGGCAGGGACGGTCTGCCGGTGCCTCCGCAAAGCACCCGGCAAGGCAGGCGCCTGCAAATGGGTTATGAACGATGAGAACAGCAGCAACAGCGGGAGAGGGCATGCAATACCCGGGGGCAAAGCCTGCTCTGCACCAAGCCCCCGGCCGAGAGAGGCCGCAGCCGCTGCCCCGTACCCGGCTGCTGCACGAGAGCTCAGTTCCCAGCCTGGCCTGGCCGCTCAGCGCTAACCCGTCAGATTTCCTCCCCAAACCCTTGTCGCTACTCTAATAAGGAGCCCAGCAGAGCCACCAGCCTCCTGAGGGGGTCCCAGCCTCTCCCCTTTCAGTCATGCCTGCTAGGGACCAGAAACAGAGCTGAGGGAGCACCCCAGGTAAGCTGCAAAACTGCACCCCTGCAGAGAGTGGATTGACTGTTTCGCTGCAAGTCTGCTGATTTGCAATTGCTGCAGCTTGCTCGGCCTGGTTAAACAAATGCCCCAGAAATTCCTCCAGCCTAAGTGTTGCCCGACGGCCGTCCCCCCCCCCCGCTCCTTCCCCAGCTCCCTGGCTCCCCGAGGTGGCAGGGGCTGCCGGCACGGGCAGGCTCGGGCTCAGGGGGAGAGCAGGGCGAGGTGGGACGCGGCAGCCGTGCCTGCATGCTGCTGCGCCTGCAGTATCCCCCCTCCCCGGCACCGTTGTGAGTTGCTGTTGCGCCCCTGCTCCTGCCGGCTGCGGTGCTCGCCCCCGCCAGCGCCCTGCCCGCTCACCCGCCTCTCGCCCGCTGGCACTGGGTGCTGCCTGCTCGCCTCCACCCAGACACGGGGCTATTCCTTGGTGGTGGTGGGAACAACGGGGCCAGAAGAGGAGAGGACTTGTGGGGCCGCTGGGTCTAGTCCCACGGCGGGCACCGCCTCTATGTAACGCCACCGGGGTTTTTGGAGGGATGAAGCGCCCGTCTG